CCAGCGGTATTCTTTATGACCAATAAGGTCTTTTTGACAGAGTGTCCAGCAGTATTCTTTATGGCCAGTAAGGACTATTTGACAGTGTCCAGCAGTGTTCTTTATGACCAATAAGGACTATTTGACAGAGTGTACAGCAGTATTCTTTATGGCCAGTAAGGACTATTTGACAGAGTGTCCAGCAGTATTCTTTATGACCAATAAGGTCTATTTGACCGAGTGTCCAGCAGTATTCTTTATGGCCAGTAAGGACTATTTGACAGTGTCCAGCAGTATTCTTTATGGCCAGTAAGGTCTATTTGACAGTGTCCAGCAGTATTCTTTATGGCCAATAAGGACTATTTTACAGTGTCCAGCAGTGTTCATTATGACCAATAAGGACTATTTGACAGAGTGTCCAACAGCATTCTTTATGGCCAGTAAGGACTATTTGACAGAGTGTCCAGCAGTATTGTTTATGACCAATAAGGTCTATTTGACAGTGTCCAGCAGTGTTCTTTATGACCAATAAGGACTATATAACAGTGTCCAGCAGTATTCTTTATTGCCAGTAAGGACTATTTGACAGAGTGTCCAGCAGTATTCTTTATGACCAATAATGTCTATTTGACAGAGTGTCCAGCAGTATTCTTTAAGACCAATAAGTGTCTTTCTCACTCCGGCTGCTGGTCTATTCAATCTGAACTTTCAGATGAGAAAATCTGGGATGGCTTTGAATCAATAACTTGTTGTATTTGTTTTGTTGCCAGGAGTGCCAATAGGATGCCCATATTCCACTAATGTTAAGAACAAGATAGAAGTCCCATAGCAAATCATTTAATGGACAAAGGTGGAGGGTCTTACAATAGCAATAAACCCGAGGGTGTCACACCCTGGCTCTGGGACTCATTATGTTGAGCCAGGGTGTGTTCATTCTATGTGTTCTGTTTCTATGTTGGGTGTTCTAGGTTGTTTATTTCTATGTTTGACTGAGTGACTCCCAATCAGAGGCAACGAGTGTCAGCTGTGTGCTGGTTGTCTCTGATTGGGAGCCATATTTAACTGTCTGTGTTTCACTTTGTGTTTGTGGGTTTTTGTTCCGTGTTCGGTCATTGTCACTGAGGACTTCACGAGTCGTTTATTGTTTTGTATTTTCGTGTGTATGCTTTAATTAAATAAAGCAAGTATGTTCGCAACTAACACTGCGCTTTGGTCCACTCCTTCATACGACATTCGTGACAGAAAAACCCACCATAAAAGGACCAAGCAGCGTGTCCAGGAGCAGGCAGACTGGACATGGGAGGAAGCGCCAGGAAAGGAGATGGAGAGGCTGGCGATGGCCCAGGTGGGCAAATCGTGGTCCTGGGAGGACATGCTCGGGGGCAAGGGACCTTGGGGTAGGATTAAGGCCCTGGCGAGAGAGGAGCAGCGGCGTCAGCAGTGCCATCGTCGGACGGACGAGAGGCACCCCCAATAATTTTTTAGGGGGGGGCACACGGCATGGGCGACTGGGCAGCAGGAGGCTGCCACAGGGCGAAATGGGAGACGAGGAGAGAAGGCCACCGGGTTACGGGAGCCATTGGCGAGAGGAGGGAAGGAAGTTGTAGAGGCACGGCGAGAGGTACTGAGGTGTATTGCCAGTCCGGTCCGGCCCGTTCCTGATCCCCGTTTAAGGCCAGTGGTGTGTGTTCCCAGTACGGTCCGGCCTGTTCCTGCTCCACGCACCAAGCCTACGGTGTGCGTCGCCAGCCCAGCCCGGCCTGTCCCTGCTCCACGCACCAAACCTACGGTGTGCGTCGCCAGCCCAGCCCGGCCTGGCCCTGCTCCACGCACCAAGCCTACGGTGTGCGTCGCCAGCCCAGTCCGGCCTGTCCCTGCTCCACGCACCAAGCCTACGGTGTGCGTCGACAGCCCAGCCCGGCCTGTTCCTGCTCCACGCACCAAGCCTACGGTGTGCGTCGACAGCCCAGCCCGGCCTGTTCCTGCTCCACGCACCAAGCCTACGGTGTGCGTCGCCAGCCCTGTCCGGCCTGTCCCTGCTCCACGCACCAAGCCTACGGTGTGCGTCGCCAGCCCGGCCTGTCCCTGCTCCACGCACCAAGCCTACGGTGTGCGTCGCCAGCCCAGCCCGGCCTGTCCCTGCTCCACGCACCAAGCCTACGGTGTGCGTCGCCAGCCCAGCCCGGCCTGTCCCTGCTCCACGAACCAAGCCTACGGTGCGCGTCGCCAGCCCGGCCCGGCCTGTTCCTGCCACTCGCACCAAGCCAGGGGTGCGAGTCGTCAGCCTGGTCCAGCCCGTTCCTGCCACTCGCACCAAGCCAGGGGTGCGAGTCGTCAGCCTGGTCCAGCCCGTTCCTGCTACTCGCAGCAAGCCAGGGGTGCGAGTCGTAAGCCTGGCAAGACCCGTCGCTGCTCCACGCACCAAGCCAGGGGTGCGAGTCGTCAGCCCGGTGAGGCCCGTTCCGGCTCCACGCACCAAGCCAGGGGTGCGCATCGTCAGCCCGGTCCGGCCCGTTGCTGCTCCACGCACCAAGCTAGGGGTGCGCATCGACAGCCAGGTCCGGTCCTTTCCTGCCTCACGCACCAAGCCTGGGGTACGCGTCGTCAGTCCGGCACAACCCGTGCCTGGGTCATCGGTGCCAGATCAGGTACCGCTTTATTGCTCCCCAACGGAGCTGAAGCTAGCCGCTCCTGCTACGTCCAGGTCAGCTCCAGCCAGCGGAGCCAGACTGGACCAGGGGCGCTATGGGGGGTTTATTGGAGGGTGGTGGTCAAGGCCGGAGGCAGAACCGCCGCCGAGGAGGTATGCCCGCCCAGCCCTCCCCTGTTTTGCTTTAGTTGAGGCGCGGTCGCAGTCCGCGCCTTTAGGGGGGGGTACTGTCACACCCTGGCTCTGGGACTCATTATGTTGAGCCAGGGTGTGTTCATTCTATGTGTTCTGTTTCTATGTTGGGTGTTCTAGGTTGTTTATTTCTATGTTTGACTGAGTGACTCCCAATCAGAGGCAACGAGTGTCAGCTGTGTGCTGGTTGTCTCTGATTGGGAGCCATATTTAACTCTCTGTGTTTCACTTTGTGTTTGTGGGTTTTTGTTCCGTGTTCGGTCATTGTCACTGAGGACTTCACGAGTCGTTTATTGTTTTGTATTTTCGTGTGTATGCTTTAATTAAATAAAGCAAGTATGTTCGCAACTAACGCTGCGCTTTGGTCCACTCCTTCATACGACGTTCGTGACAGAGGGGGTGTGGAATATATTACCATTATACCACGGCTAAGGGCTGTTCTTATGCACGACGCATCGCGGAGTGCCTGGACATAGCCCTTAGCCGTGGTATATTGGCCATATACCACCAACCTGCCGAGCAGCCTTATTGCTATTATAAACTGGTTACCAACGTAATTAGAGCAGTAAAAATAAATGTTTTGCCATACCCGTGGTATAAGGTCTGATTTGCCATGGCTTTCAGCCAATCAGCATTCAGGGCTCGAACCATCCAGTTTATAATGTACAGTATGTATGGATTTTAAAGTAGCCTTCGAGTTGTGATACTCAATACATACTATTTATGTCATTAGTTTTCTGTACTACCAACCACGGACCAATCAAAAACTGTAACTGTGATCTGTGTGACTCTCTTAATAAGTGTGCAATCTGTGCATGACATTGACTTCTACAAAGACTTTACCAGGAACAAGAAGCCTTATTCATACCTGATATCACACACAAACACAAGCCTTTTTCTTACACATCTGATTGAACAGAAGAGCAAGAGAAATTTGGCAGCCTTTGGTAGTATTTAGAATGGTGCTACAAAAAGAGAGGAACATTAAAGGCTATAGATGTGATGTTAGTGAGTCTCATGAATGAGCACGGCCATCACTAGCCGGCTACCACCCGGCTCCTCAACCCTGCACCTTAGAGGCTGCTGCCCTATGTACATAGACATGGAATCACTGGTCACTGTAATAATGGAACACTAGTCACTTTAATAATGTTTACATACTGCTTTACTCATTTCATATGTATATACTGTATTCTATTCTACTGTATTTTAGTCAATGCCACTCCAACATTGCTCATCCTAATATTTATATATTTCTTAATTCCATTCTTTACTTTTAGATTTGTGTGAATTGTTAGATACTACTGCACTGTTGGAGCTAGGAATACAAGCATTTTGCTACACCCGCAATAACATCTGCTAAATATGTGTATGTGACCAATAAAATCAGATTTGATTTGATTTGAAATGCGTTCAAAAAGATTCCTCCATTAGTTTTACCCAAAAACATACTTTTACTTAGTGTTACTTTAAAAGTATGTGTAATCAGAGATTAGTTTATGTTGATGATTCAAGGCGGGAGGAGGTATACAGAGCCTCTGACAGGTGACTGTGTATACATTGCAGTGCAGCGGGAATGCCATTTCCACGTGATTCAGTCGAGGCGCGTTCAGGGTGTGTTCCTAAATTCAATCTGGAGTGCCAGAGTGTGCTCTGGGCGTCAGATTGTCAGATTGAGCGTTTCGTTCTGGTAGTGTTCAGAGCGCACACTGGACGCTCTGGCCGAGGAGTAGGGTTGATCTGAGCGTTCTGACCTCGAAACGGCAGTCAAGCAACCAAGCTAACTGGCTAACTTGGCTAGCATGCAAGCTACGTCCTGTACAAATGAGAGACCACTTCACTCTGACCATTTTACCACCCTAGCATTACATTTACATTTCAGTCATTTAGCAGACGCTCTTATCCAGAGCGACTTACAGTTAGTGAGTGCATACATTTTCATACTTTTACTAGCAGAGCTGGTTATTCTGTTTTCATGTTATCCAGCCCATTGGTGACTGTAACCGTGCTGCTGGCAACAATTAAAATTGCCGACGTTTACTGACACCGGTCATATTCAACTGGTGTTGAGTGTTCATAAATTCATCGGTTATTCTGCGCTCTGGCACACTCAGACGAGAGTGCTCTGAAATCTGAGTAGATAACCAGAGTGAATTTACGAACGCACCCTCAGGGTGGGCGTCTCCCAGCTACCTTTGCATACCTGTCATGATAAAACCTTAAGGCCATAAAAAATCTCCAATAGGTACCGCACTGGTTTCAACTAAAGGGACATATTGTATTGACAAAATGGAATCGCCCGTGAAGAAAGGTTTCCTTAGACTGGAGATACAGAAAACAACATGGGAGGTTCCGGAGCAATATACCGCACTGAAAGCCGTTGGCTCGGGCGCTTACGGGACAGTATGGTGAGTTGACTTTGTGAACGGTCAGTGCAATCTGCGATCCTTGGGACGTCACTACCCAAACACTAACCTTAACCCCTACCCTTACCCTTACCTTAACCATAACCATAACCCTTACCTAACCATAACCTCAACCCTTACCATAACCATTTAAAATGTAAACTTCAATGGGGGTAGTGATGTCCCAAAGATCCTGGATAGCACGAACCCTTTGGTTGAACGGGTAATTATTGGCAGGCATCCCAGGAATAACTTCACGCCAAACCAGCATGTATTTATATTCTTTAGAATATACCTCTGTATAAATACAGTTGTTCTCAATCTCAGTCATTGCAAAAAATATGTAGAAAATAAATAGAATGTAAGGAACAACTTAGCCTGTAATTGTTTATTTATTTTCAATAACATACTAAACTCTACATTATTGGTTTAATATCAGCTGTGTTTTTGTTGAATTTTTTCAATACAAAAAAAAAGACTCTGGACATTGCTAACAGAGGCACTATTGTATTGCCTCAAGCAAATAAGCAAGTTGAAGCAGGCTTTGAGATAAGACAAGAATTTTCCTCTCCCAGGAGCAAGCCCCATAATAACACATATTGAAACCCAGTTGTACCTCTGCCAGATATAGGTCTTATGGAATGTCTGAAATCAAATGTTATTTGTAGGACTACATATAATCATTTGGCAAACTCTGACATAAAAGTTAATCAAAGATTCTGCAGTCTTTGATGACTTGAAATCTGTCTGTTGGTACTAAGAGTAAATCACAGGAGGTTGGTGGCACCTTAATTGGGGAGGACGGGCTCATGGTAATGGCTGGAGCGGAATTAGTGGAATGGTTTCAAATACATCAAACACATGCCATTCCATTTGCTCTATTCCAGCCATTATTATGAGCCGTCTTCCCCATCAGCAGCCTTCACTGGAGTAAACCATTCTATCTATATCCCCCACAGTCTCTTGCTATTGAGAGTAAACCATTCGATCTATATCCCCCACAGTGTGCTGCTATTTAGAGTAAACCATTATATCTATATCCCCCACAGTCTGAGACAGAATTGTTATATCCAGAACTAATGTACTTTGACTTTTGACCTTGTCTCATTCATTAGTTCTGCTATTGACCAGCAGACCAAGGAGAAGGTGGCCATTAAGAAGCTCTATCGTCCATTTCAATCCCTGATCCACGCTAAACGGGCCTACCGTGAACTACGACTGTTGCGCCACATCCAGCATGACAATGTTAGTACTTGTTACCTACTATTATAGTGGGACATCTGAGATGCACTTCCCTGGACAGAGAATCCAGTCATTCAAAAATGTAGCGGCCTTTCATTACAATGCAGTAATTATCACAATCAGAATAATGTGCAGTCCTATGGACACTATTCAGCATCCAGTTGTATTGCTTTGCCTCTTTCCTATGTGTTTATTTATGTTTGGAAAAGAGGAGTAGCGGCCAGTGTTTGCCAGTGGGCCAGTGTTTGCACTCAACACTTCTCAGTGAACATACTGTCTACTTATAGAACTGTTCATCAGGCCTACTTGTTCTGTTACAGGTGATGAATAAGTCTTACTGCAATGTATAATGTGTGTGTGGTCACTTACTGTGGGAGTAAACCCTTCCATTCCTCTCCTTCTCCTTGTTTTTTTCCTAAAGGTCATCTGCCTCCTCAATGTCTTCACACCTGATTTCTCCCTGGAGAAATTCCAGACATTGTGAGTGGTGAGCTGTGAACTGGCATTCCTCTGCCAGTTGTTTCAGCTTGTTGACACAGGCTGCTCAGAGTGTATCTTGGAGTTTTAGTTTCATAGTGTGTGTGTGTTTTGTGTGTGTGTCTTTGTGTGTGTGTGCTTGCATGCGTGCAGGTTTGTTCATGTTTGTTTGTGCTTGGGTATGTGATATCATCTTACCTGAGATAAAAAATATATATACAGTGAGGGAAAAAAGTATTTGATCCCCTGCTGATTTTGTATGTTTGCCCACTGACAAAGACATGATCAGTCTATAATTTTAATGGTAGGTTTATTTGAACAGTGAGAGACAGAATAACAACAACAAAATCCAGAAAAATGCATGTCAAAAATGTTATGAATTGATTTTCATTTTAATGAGGGAAATAAGTATTTGACCCCTCTGCAAAACATGACTTAGTACTTGGTGGCAAAACCCTTGTTGGCAATCACAGAGGTCAGACGTTTCTTGTAGTTGGCCACCAGGTTTGCACACATCTCAGGAGGGATTTTGTCCCACTCCTCTTTGCAGATCTTCTCCAAGTCATTAAGGTTTCGAGGCTGACGTTTGGCAACTCGAACCTTCAGCTCCCTCCACAGATTTTCTATGGGATTAAGGTCTGGAGACTGGCTAGGCCACTCCAGGACCTTAATGTGCTTCTTCTTGAGCCACTCCTTTGTTGCCTTGGCTGTGTGTTTTGGGTCATTGTCATGCTGGAATACCCATCCACGACCCATTTTCAATGCCCTGGCTGAGGAAGGAGGTTCTCACCTAAGATTTGACGGTACATGGCCCCGTCCATCGTCCCTTTGATGCGTGAAGTTGTCCTGTCCCCTTAGCAGAAAAACACATCCAAAGCATAATGTTTCCACCTTCATGTTTGACGGTGGGGATGGTGTTCTTGGGGTCATAGGCAGCATTCCTCCTCCTCCAAACACGGCGAGTTGAGTTGATGCCAAAGAGCTCGATTTTGGTCTCATCTGACCACAACACTTTCACCCAGTTCTCCTCTGAATCATTCAGATGTTCATTGGCAAACTTCAGACGGGCCTGTATATGTGCTTTCATGAGCAGGGGGACATTGCGGGCGCTGCAGGATTTCAGTCCTTCACGGCATAGTGTGTTACCAATTGTTTTCTTGGTGACTATGATCCCAGCTGCCTTGAGATCATTGACAAGATCCTCCCGTGTAGTTCTGGGCTGATTCCTCATCGTTCTCATGATCATTGCAACTCCACGAGGTGTCGTAGCCGGCCGCGACCGGGAGACCCATGGGGCGGCGCGCACAATTGGCCCAGCGTCGTCCAGGGTAGGGGAGGGAATGGCCGGCAGGGGATGTAGCTCAGTTGGTAGAGCATGGCGTTTGCAACGCCAGGGTTGTGGGTTCGATAAAAAAATTATGTATGCACTAACTGTAAGTCGCTCTGGATAAGAGCGTCTGCTAAATGACTTAAATGTAAATGTAAAAATGATCTTGCATGGAGCCCAAGGCCGAGGGAGATTGACAGTTCTTTTGTGTTTCTTCCATTTGCGAATAATCTCACCAACTGTTGTCACCTTCTCACCAAGCTGCTTGGCGATGGTCTTGTAACCCATTCCAGCCCTGTGTAGGTCTACAATATTGTCCCTGACATCCTTGGAGAGCTCTTTGGTCTTGGCCATGGTGTAGAGTTTGGAATCTGATTGATTGATTGCTTCTGTGGACAGGTGTCTTTTATACAGGTAACACGCTGAGATTAGGAGCACTCCCTTTAAGAGTGTGCTCCTAATCTCAGCTCGTTACCTGTATAAAAGACACCTGGGAGCCAGAAATCTTTCTGATTGAGAGGGGGTCAAATAATTATTTCCCTCATTAAAATGCAAATCAATTTACAACATTTTTGACATGCGTTTTTCTGGATTTTTGTTGTTGTTATTCTGTCTCTCACTGTTCAAATAATCCTACCATTAAAATTATAGACTGATCATATCTTTGTCAGTGGGCAAACGTACAAAATCAGCAGGGGATCAAATACTTTTTTCCCTCACTGTATATTTGATGTCTGGGTTAGGATTTTTCTAATAAAAAGCATGAGCTGGCGCACACCCAGAGAACATTATTTAGTGTAGAGCTGCTGACTAACGGGGAATTAACTGGAAGTCTATCAAAACAAAGAGAGTCGCACACTCCAAAGATATAAACTCCCAGTAATGCATTGGGGTAAATAAATCACCCTGAAGAAGGCACAGTGATGCAAAACGTCAGTGTTTTACCCAATAAATTACTGGGAGTTTATATATACAGAGTGTGTGACTCTTTATTTTTGATAGCTTATGGGTTATGATTCTTACCATGAGACACAGTATATGATATAACCTGCATTTGTTGTTATGTAATATTAGCATATACTTGTAGCACTTAGTTGTAGGTGGTAGAACTAGTACATGATGTATCGTATCATTCCATTTCCCTGCTTGTATTCTCTGTCACAGTTACATGGTGATATTTTTTGCATCTGACTAACTGTCCCTCTCTGTCCTTCATTTTACAGTTACATGGTAATGCCCTTCGTGGCTGAGGATCTCGGTCACATCATGAAGACGAGGAGATTGACTGATCGCATCATCGTTTACCTCTTCTATCAGCTTCTACGTGGCCTTAAGGTGTTTACTACCACTTACAACTCACTATGTTTACACACAGGCCTTTAAATCATGTTATTACCAATGTGAAGATAATGTTTTTATTTATTTATTCATCACCAATGTATCTATTTCTGTCCTTTAGTATATCCATTCAGCAGGGATCATCCATCGGGTTTGCATTAGATTCTTATCAATATACATGAAACACATTTCTACGTACATTTATTTGAGTGACCAGATCGTATAACATCCAGCAATACTTTTCTTTATTCTTTATTCTTTAGGACCTAAAACCTGGCAACCTCGCAGTGAACGAGAATTGTGAATTGAAGGTAAATAAGAATCAACCTGCATTTCTACGTGTTTATTAAACTGTACTTTACATTTTATAACCTTCACACAGTGAAAGAAACATAATGTACTTGATTTAGGAAGATGACACACTGATGTTTAAAGACTACACTTTGTTTGACGGTTGTGATCACATATGAGCCTCTCTTTTAATAAGCTTGTCCTCACTTTTCCTTCACATTTCCTTGCTTTCTCTTGCTTTCGCAGATCCTGGACTTTGGTCTAGCGAGACATGCAGAGAGTGAGATGACGGGCTATGTGGTGACACGCTGGTACAGGTCACCAGAGATCATCTTCAACTGGATGCACTATAGCCAGTCAGGTGACCTATCGCCAACGCACGATATATTTGGACTTCACTTTCCTTGCATTGCAAACGCTTCTGGGGGTATCTTACTCTTGTATGAGTGGCTCATTGGTATCTCATGTGTTATATATTCTGTGTGTCTGTCTCCCTCTCAGTGGACTTGTGGTCAGCTGGCTGCATCTTGGCTGAGATGATCACAGGCCAGGTTCTGTTCCCAGGCAACGACAGTATCCTCTAATGTTCCCTCTGACATTTCCACTGTATACTCACTCCTTTTACAGCAACACAAAAACATAGATTATGTTCCTCATCCTTTGCATATTGCTGATGTAGTTATCATGTAGTTATCTGATGCAATTATCATGTAGTTATCTGATGCAATTATCATGTAGTTATCTGATGTAGTTATCATGTAGTTATCTGATGTAATTATCATGTAGTTATCTGATGTAGTTATCATGAAGTTATCTGATGTAGTTATCATGTAGTTATCTGATGTAATTATCATGAAGTTATCTGATGTAGTTATCATGTAGTTATCATGTAGTTATCTGATGTAGTTATCATGTAGTTATCATGTAGTTATCTGATGTAGTTATCGTGTAGTTATCTGGTGTAGTTATCATGAAGTTATCTGATGTAGTTATCATGAAGTTATCTGATGTCGTTATTGTGTAGTTATCGTGTAGTAATCTGATGTAGGTATCATGTAGTTATCTGGTGTAGTTATCATGTAGTTATCTGGTGTAGTTATCATGTAGGTATCATGTAGTTTTCTGATGTAGTTATCATTTAGTTATCTGGTGTAGTTGTCTTGTAGTTATCTGATGTAGTTATCATGTAGTTATCAGGTGTAGCTATCAGGTGTAGTTATCTGGTGTAGTTATCATGTAGTTATCTGATGTAGTTATCATGAAGTTATCTGATGTAGTTATCGTGTTGTTATCTGATGAAGTTATCTGATGTAGTTATCATGTAGTTATCTGATGTTGTTATCATGTAGTTATCATGAAGTTATCAGGTGTAGTCATCTGATATAGTTATCTGATGTAGTTATCATGTAGTTATCAGGTGTAGTTATCTGATGTAGTTATCATGTAGTTATCTGATGTAGTTATCATGTAGTTATCATGTAGTTATCAGGTGTAGTCATCTGATGTAGTTATCTGATGTAGTTATCATGTAGTATCAGGTGTAGTTATCTGATGTCAGTTTATCATGTAGTTATCTGATGTAGTTATCATGAAGTTATCTGATGTAGTTATCAGTGTAGTTATCTGATGAAGTTATATGATGTAGTTATCATGTAGTTATCTGATGTTGTTATCATGTAGTTATCTGATGAAGTTATCTGATGTAGTTATCATGTAGTTATCAGGTGTAGTCATCTGATATAGTTATCTGATGTAGTTATCATGTAGTTATCAGGTGTAGTTATCTGATGTAGTTATCATGTAGTTATCTGGTGTAGTTATCATGTAGTTATCTGATGTAGTTATCATGTAGTTATCAGGTGTAGTTATCTGATGTAGTTATCTGATGTAGTTATCATGTAGTTATCTGATGTTGTTATCATGTAGTTATCAGGTGTAGTTATCATGTAGTTATCTGATGTAGTTATCATGTAGTTATCAGGTGTAGTTATCTGATGTAGTTATCTGATGTAGTTATCATGTAGTTATCTGGTGTAGTTATCATGCAGTTATCTGGTGTAGTTATCATGTAGTTATCTGATGTAGTTATCATGTAGTTATCATGAAGTTATCTGAAGTAGTTATCTGATGTAGTTATCATGTAGTTATCTGGTGTAGTTATCTGATGTAGTTATTATGAAGTTATCTGATGTAGTTATCTGTATGTAGTTATCTGATGTAGTTATCATGTAGTTATCTGATGTAGTTATCTGATGTAGTTATCTGATGTAGTTATCATGTAGTTATAATGTAGTTATCTGATGTAGTTATCATGTAGTTATCTGATGTAGTTATCTGATGTAGTTATCTGATGTAGTTATCTGATGTAGTTATCAGGTGTGGGTATCTGATGTAGTTATCATGTAGTTATCTGGTGTATTTATCGTGTAGTTATCAGGTGTAGTTATCTGATGTAGTTATCATGTAGTTATCTGATGTAATTATCATGAAGTTATCTGATGTAGTTATCTGATATAGTTATCATGTAGTTATCTGATGTAGTTATCAGGTGTAGTTATCTGATGTAGTTATAATGTAGTTATCATGTAGTTATCTGGTGTAGTTATCATGAAGTTATCTGATGTAGTTATCATGTAGTTATCTGATGTAGTTATCATGCAGTTATCTGATGTAGTTATCATGCAGTTATCTGGTGTAGTTATCATGTAGTTATCTGATGTAGTTATCATGTAGTTATCATGAAGTTATCATGTAGTTATCTGGTGTAGTTATCATGAAGTTATCTGATGTAGTTATCATGTAGTTATCTGATGTAGTTATCATGCAGTTATCTGGTGTAGTTATCATGTAGTTATCTGATGTAGTTATCATGTAGTTATCAGGTGTAGTTATCTGATGTAGTTATCTGATGTAGTTATCATGTAGTTATCTGATGTTGTTATCATGTAGTTATCAGGTGTAGTTATCATGTAGTTATCTGATGTAGTTATCATGTAGTTATCAGGTGTAGTTATCTGATGTAGTTATCTGATGTAGTTATCATGAAGTTATCTGATGTAGTTATCAGGTGTAGTTATCTGATGTAGTTATCATGTAGTTATCTGGTTTAGTTATCTGATGTAGTTATCTGGTGTAGTTATCATGAAGTTATCTGATGTAGTTATCATGAAGTTATCTGATGTCTTTATCGTGTAGTTATCGTGTAGTTATCTGGTATAGTTATCATTTGGTTATCTGGTGTAGTTATCATGTTGGTATCTTGTAGTTTTCTGATGTAGTTATCATTTAGTTATCTGATGTAGTTGTCTTGTAGTTATCTGATATAGTTATCATGTAGTTATCAGGTGTAGTTATCAGGTGTAGTTATCTGATGTAGTCATCTGATGTAGTTATCATGTAGTTATATGGTGTAGTTATCTGATGTAGTTATCTGATGTAGTTATCTGATGTAGTTATCTGGTGTAGTTATCATGAAGTTATCTGATGTAGTTATCATGAGTTATCTGATGTCTTATCGTGTAGTTATCGTGTGTATTATCTGGTATAGTTATCATTTGGTTATCTGGTGTATTATCATGTGGTATCTTGTAGTTTTTCTGATGTAGTTATCATTTAGTTATCTGATGTAGTTATCTGTGTAGTTATCTGATATAGTTATCATGTAGTTATCAGGTGTAGTTATCAGGTGTAGTTATCTGATGTAGTCATCTGATGTAGTTATCATGTAGTTATATGGTGTAGTTATCTGATGTAGTTATCTGATGTAGTTATCTGATGTAGTTATCTGGTGTAGTTATCATGTAGTTATCTGATGTAGTTATCTGATGTAGTTATCTGATGTAGTTATCATGTATTTATCAGGTGTAGTTATCTGATGTAGTTATCTGATGTAGTTATCATGAAGTTATCTGATGTAGAATGTGTAGTTATCTGATGTAGTTATCATGTAGTTATCTGATGTAGTTATCATGTAGTTATCTGATGTATTTATCTGATGTAGTTATCATGTAGTTATCTGATAAAGTTATCTGGATGTAGTTATCAGTGAATTATCGGATGTAGTTTATCATGTAGTTATCATGAAGTTAGTCTGAAGTAGTTTATATGATGTAGTTAATCCTGATGTAGTTATCTGATGTCAGTTATCTGATGTAGTTATCCTGATGTAGTTATCTGATGTAGGGATTCTGGTGTAGTTATCATGTAGTTATCTGATGTAGTTTATCTGAATGTAGTTATCTGATGTAGTGATCATGTAGTTTATCAGGTGTAAGTTATCGGATGTAGTTATCTGATGTAGTTTATCATGAAGTTATCTAGGTGTAGTTTATCTGATGTAGTTATCTTGATGTAGTTAATCTGATGTAGTTAGCTGATGTAGTTATCTGATGTAGTTATCTGATGTAGTTATCAATGTAGTTATCAGGTGTAGTTATCTGATGTAGTTATCTGATGTAGTTATCATGAAGTTATCTGATGTAGTTATCTGATGTAGTTATCTGATGTAGTTATCTGATGTAGTTATCTGATGTTGTTATCTGATGTAGTTATCATGTAGTTAACTGATGTAGTTATCGTGTAGTTATCAATTGTAGTTATCTGATGTAGTTAACTGATGTAGTTATCGTGTAGTTATCTGGTGTAGATATCAGGTGTAGGTATCTGATGTAGTTAACATGTAGATATCAGGTATAGTTATCTGATGTAGTTATTGTGTAGTTATCATTGTGCAGTTGCACAAAGTACAACACCAATCATGCAATCAGACTGTTCACTGATCATTGCTGTAAATATTTTGCTTGAAGTGGTTTCCACTGTCTGCCTTGTGTGTCCCTACCCCCTCCTTGACCATCCTGTTCAGGCATTGACCAGTTGATGAAGATCCTCCACGTAACAGGAACACCACCGTCCTCCTTGCTGCAGAAGATGCAGAGCAAAGATGTAGGCCTACCGTCATCTCAATCTAATGGCAGCTATTCAGCTTGCAACGATTCAATGTATCTTGGTGTTGAAGTCACAAGTTATGGTCAGTATGGGATTAACTAGTAGGAAGGAGGAGATAACGTTGACAGTTGAACATTGTTGGTATTGTCTTGCAGGCTCGTTCATATGTGCAGGGTCTCCCTATCCAAAAGAAGAAAAACTTTAAGGAAGTATTTCCCTCCTTGGATGTACATGGTGAGTTGATCTATCTATCATTATTTTGCCAATGGAACATACTGCATGGTGGTTATGAATATCCAGTTATTCAGTGATGTTTTTCTGCTTTGTATTGAGAACAGTTGAGGTCTGTGATGACTCTTTATTCCATGCTCTATTTCCTAATGCCTCTCTCTCTCTCTCTCTCTCTCTCTCTCTCTCTCTCTCTCTCTCTCTCTCTCTCTCTCTCTCTCTCTCTCTCTCTCTCTCTCTCTCTCTCTCTCTCTCTCTCTCTCTCTCTCTCCTTCTCTCTCTCTCTCTCTCTCTCTCTCTTCATGTCCTGTGTGTACATCTGTCCAGCGGTGGATCTGCTGGACAGCATGCTGCTGCTGGACCCAGACACTAGGATGACAGCTAAAGAGGGCCTCTCACACCCCTACCTCTCTGAGTTCCATGATCCAGAATCTGAACCCGACTCCCCACCGTACGACGACTCCTTTGAAAGCATGGAGCTTGACGTGGGAGAGTGGAGTAGTGAGTATATCTTGTCTATGACTGATTGCATCGTTGCACATGTTGATAGCATTTATCCTGAATTACCCACTGCTCTTAGTGCCCTACAGTTACAGTTCTGCAAAGTAGCCATTTTAGGAAATTACATTTTAAAATACTGTATGGTGTGCTTCATGTGGTAAAATTCTAAAATGCTTAGTCTTTTCCTGTTAGGTCTGATCCACATGGAGATTATGACTTTTGACCCCAGCAACCCCAGTGCCACTGCAATGTAGCGGACAGACACTACAGAGCACTGGCTCCCCCAGCTTATAAAAAGTATCACATTTCACAACATGGTTTTATGACTTCATCAAACATTATACATGATACTGGTATGTCTACATTTTCATGGATCCCTCATGTTTTAAGGATAGATCATGGTTTTAACTTGTTTTAAGGTAAACATTTTCAGAATGCTTTGTAAATGCCTATGAATGATGTACAAACTTTTAATATAGTAGTAGTATTATCATTGTAAATATAGTAATGTGGTACTCGATCACACCATTTGCACAAGTTTATACAATTGGCTACAATCTATGTATGAACAATGTTTTAATCTTGACTGAGTAAAACCTCAAATCAATCTCATCTATGAACACATTCTCATCTCTGACTCAATTAGCATTTACCGAAATAAAGCATGTTTTGGTATCTTAACTGAAAAATGATGTTTAATGCCAGAAAACAAAATCTCAATGAATATATGCACATAGTATACAGTAGACGGCACCTGTTCAGTATAATATATAAAGTTCTTATGTTGCTCTTTTTATAGTGAATGGGTTAGATAGGACAAGGTACCATTTCAGTTCTGTTACAGCAGTGGTGTTAAGTAAATAAGTAAAAAATACTTTAAAGCACTACTTAAGTAGTTTTTTGGGGTAACTGTACTTCACTTTACTATTTATATTTTTGACAACTTTTACTTTCACTCCACTACATTCCTAAAGAAAATAATGTACTTTTTTACTCTATACGTTTTCTCTTACACCCAAAAGTACTTGTTACATTTAGAATGTTCAGGCAGGACAGCAATATGTTCCAATTCACGCACCTATCAATATAACTCATTGTCATCCTTACTGCCTCTGATCTGGTAGACTCACTAAACGCAAGTACTGCGTATGTAAATTATGTCTTAGTGTTGGAGTGTGTCCCCTGGTGGTCCGTAAATAAAAAAATTAAAAATTGTGCCATCTGGTTTGCTTAACGTAAGTATGACAATTTAGTTCTTTTTTCACCACTGTGTTACAGCAGATGTCTGCGTGGTGTCTAACATTAGTTAAAGTAGTCTGCATGTAGCCCAGCTGCTGAAATTAAAGTAGATTTAAAAGAATTTTAATTTAATCAGATTTCATTTGATTTAAATTAATACAGTGCTACTGCTTTTGTCTGTAACGATTAACTAGCAGCCCAAAATAGGGGGCACTATGAATGTTTGATTGTATTGTTTTGCGTTCTATGAATCCTATCCCAATTTCCTCAGAAAACATCCATACATGGAAATACTTTTTTCTAGTAAAGAGATGTAACACAAGTTAACACTATCTAATACTGTCTTCATAGTAAATCACAATTAAAGGGATAGTTCACCCAAATTACAAAATTATATTGTTTTCCTTAAACTGTAAGCAGTTAATGGACAAGGTATGACAGCAATTATGCTTTGTTTATTTCTTTACCTGGTCACTGTTTCAAATGCTAACTTTTTTAGTATTTTTCGCACAAATCCAATGCAAGTACCTTAATTAGCATTTTTGTTCTTTATGTGCATATCATCTATAAGTAACATCAATGAGTTGCGATACATTTGTACATACTTTAGGATGATTTGGACATGAAACGCGAAAATGCTAATATAGGTACCATTGACTTGCATTGGATTTGTGCCACAAATGCTAAAAAGATAGCATGTGAAACAGTGGCCAGGTAAACAAAACCTGCTGTCATACCTTGTCCATAGACTGCTTACAGGGTAAGAAAACAATGTCATTTTGTAATTTGGGTGAACTATCCCTTTAATAATTTGGCGGTTAGCTAGCGTATAGTGATGATAGATCCCTCTATGTTGTGTTACAGGCCTTGAAGATGTGTCATTCCATTGGGCTATTTTGTGTTTTGAAATCGAATCCTTCACAAGTCAGCTCCCACTTTGACATTGCAAAGAGCCGTTCACCTCTGATGGCATCTTGTTTTCATGGTATTAGCTGGGTATGAATCATTTAATAGGTTCTATTAATGTGTGGTTGCTAACATTCTAATAGTTAGACTAATTTCAGTTTATGTGGCAAAACAAGAAAGAATAGTGTAGAGAATCACTGTACCATATAAACTACTGTGAAATATATTTTCCATGACCAAAAATGTTGTATTTTCAGCTGTTTAAAGCTGGTGTACAAAACCGAATGTAAAAGATGCATAAACCAAACTTAAGAACATGAAGCATAGATATAGCGTACATAGAACAGATCTACCGCTTTTTAGACTTGCTTTCAAAGAGAATGACAGATCTGTAACTCACATATTACATATTACAGCTTTAAATAAAAACAAGCTGTTGAGTCATAGGGATTAAGTGCTTATGTGTACTTGCCAAAGTGGATTTAACTGTCAAGAAGTCATTTTACAGTGTTTGAGTTTATTTACAGTAAGATTTTTAAAAGGTGCAGATAGATTGTGGGTTCTATCAATGTAATTAATTGCCCACATCATTTCCAATCTCCTATATATTTAAAAAATATATATTTTCCTTATTATTTTCCCCTAACCCTACCTCCCCTCCCCTAATTGGAGTAAACTAATGGACAAAAATACTCAGGCTTCTACTTCTAGTTTATATGTAATATATACATTTAACGGACACAGTATATTTTACATTAGTTATCTTTTTTATTTGTTTTAGACATTTTTGCTAATTTATTAAAAATAAAAAACTGAAATATTACATTTACATAAGTATTCAGACCCTTTACTCAGTAATTTCTTGATGCAACTCTGTCAGCGATTACAGCCTCGAGTCTTCTTGGGTATGACACTACAAGCTTGACACACCTGTATTTGGGGAGTTTTTCACATTCTTCTCTGCAGATCCTCTCAAGCTCTGTCAGGTTGGATGGAGAGCGTTGCTTCACAGCTATTTTCAGGTCTCTCCAGATGATCGATCAGTTTGAAGTCCGGACTCTGGCTGGGCCACTCAAGGACATTCAGAGACTTCTCCCGAAGCCACTCCTGCGTTGTCTTGGCTGTGTGCTTAGGGTCATTGTCATGTTGGAAGGTGAACCTGTGCCCCAGTCTGAGGTCCTGAGCAATATGGAGCAGTTTTTCATCAAGGATCTCTCTGTACTTTGCTCCATTCATCTTTCACTAGTCTCTCAGTCCCTGCCGCTGAAAACATCCCAACAGCATGATGTTGCCACCACCACGCTTCAACGTAGTGATGGTGCCAGGTTTCCTCCAGATGTGATATTTGGCATTCAGGCCAAAGAGTTCAATCTTGGTTTCATCAGACTAGAGAATCTTGTTTCTCATGGTCTGAGAGTCTTTAGGTGCCTTTGGGCTAAGTCCAAGCGGGCTGTAATGTGCCTTTTACTGAGGAGTGTCTTCCGTCTGGCCACTCTACCATAAAGGCCTGATTGGTGAAGTGCTGCAGAGATGGTTGTCTTTCTGGAAGGGTCTCCCATCTCCACAGAGGCACTCTGGAGTTCTGTCAGAGTGACCATCGGGTTCTTGGTCACCTCCCCGACCATGGCCCTTCTCCCTCGATTGCTCAGTTTGGTCGGGCGGCCTGCTCTAGGAAGAGTCTTGGTGGTTCCAAACTTCTTCCATTTAAGAATGATGAAGGCCACTGTATTCTTGGGGACCTTCAATACTGAAGAAATTGTTTTGTACCCTTCCCCAGATATGTGCCTCAACACAATCCTGTCTCTGAGCTCTACGGACAATTCCCCTGACCTCATGGCTTGGTTTTTGCTCTGACATGCACTGTCATCTGTGGGACTTTATATAGACAGGTGTGTGCCTTTCCAAATCATGTCCAATCAATTGAATTTACCACAGGTGGACTCCAATCAAGTTGTAGAAACATCTCAAGGATGATAAATGGAAACAAGATGCACCTGAGCTCAATTTCGAGTCTCATAGCGAAGGGTCTGAATACTTATGTAAATAAGGTATTTATGTTTTTTATGTTTAATACATTTGCAAACATTTCTAAAAACCTGTTTTCACTTCGTCATTATGGGGTATTATGTGTAGATTGATTCGGATTTTTTATTTATTTAATCCATTTTAGAATAAGGCTGTAACGTAAAAAATTTGGAAAAAGTCAAGGGGTCTGAATAGTTTCCGATTGCACTGTATATATAATCACCATATATATAAATTCAAGTCGTACTTCATCAATGGCATTTTCAAAATCAGCTATGAATACCAATAGAAATACAAAGAGTTAATTTACCAGTAAGTTACCTCTTTGTGAACTTTAAAACTGTTATTGCGTTTAGTAACCCAATTAGCCCTGTCAGTAATGTCATTGTGTCTATGTAGATAGAACAGATACAGTAAGAAGAGAAAGAGTGAACACAAGTATTTTATAGAACTCCGATTTATTCACAATGTTTTGGTGGTACAGCAATAACATTCAATAAATCTGGGTGTATCAGTCAGCCCTTTTGGTCAGAATGAAAAGAAAAACACTGTTTGCAAACATCAGTGGAAAACCCATTGTCCCTAGGAAAGGGAGTGTTAAGAGTTAATGCTAGATTATTTACCTCAGAGCAAAGGGGCGACACTTTAGTATTACTGCTTATGTTGATCGCCTGGCATTCCCCACAATGCATAGCAATATGGGGGCAGCGAAGCACTGGGTGCAGGGATGTGAATCCAGTATTTCCTATCAGCCAGTAACTATGGGGCATATACAGCTAAGAAGGGGGTCAGCCCATCCTGGGTTATAGTGTAGATCAGTAGATGCTCTGTGCCTGCATGTGACAGGAGGAGTTTGTAGCTTGCTTTGGTTGTCGAGGAAGAGAGGGAGAGGAGGAGGAGAGGGGGAGGTGGGGACAGCCAGACAGACTTCTGTGTTTAGAAGCGTCTGGATGAGGAGGTCGTGGAGGAACGGGACATGGAGACACCGCCGCCTCCGCTGCTCATGCCGAAGCCGCTGCCGCCGCCGCCGCCGCCGCCGCTGCTCATGCCGAAGCCGCTGCCGCCGCCGCCGCCGCTGCTCATGCCGAAGCCGCCACCGCCGCCGCCGCCGCTTTTCATGGACATGCCACTGCCACCGCCATATCCGAAGCCACCGCCGCCTCCACCCATGCCGAATCCACCTCCGGAGCCTGGGAGAGGAAGATGGAAGGGGCGAGGTCAATACTTGGACTAATCAGACCTACAAGTATTGTCTTCACTGTTATACATTTCCAACTGAATTTCAATGTATGAGGTTCTTACCACCACCGCCGCTGCTGGAGGTCTGTATGTGGATGGTTGCAGTTCCACCTCCAGTTCCACCTCCGGTAATCCTTTGAAGAGATTCATAGATTAGTTGACATGATTACTAAGCATATACTACAGTGAAAGAGCTGACTTCATTTAAAAGATTTTCAATGACTTGTATTGTGACTTTACAGTTCCTAGCCATGCATTTATCATGTTTTGTTTCACTATCTCTTTATTCGATCCTGCGCTTACCTGCTCTCCTCTCCTTCCAGTAGTTTCCTGTAGGTGGCAATCTCAATGTCCAGGGCAAGTTTGACGTTCATCAGCTCCTGGTACTCGCGCACCTGCCGGGCCATGTCCTGCTTGGCTCTCTGGAGGGCCTCCTCCAGATCCCTGATGCGGAGCTTGGCATCCTTCACCGCCATCTCCCCACGCTCCTCAGCCTCTGCGATCTGGTTTTCCAGGTTAGCACGCTACAAGATAAAAGAAAGACAAGATCAGAAATAAGATATTTTCACTTAATGGAATATTAGTGTTGTGCCAGACCTGATACTATTTTGAATTGACCGTCATTTGCCAACCTACTGTACCTGTCCTTTGACGTTTTCGATCTCATTTTGGAGACGGCTGATCATGCGGTTCAGCTCGGCCATCTCTGCCTTGGTGTTGCGCAGATCTTCACCATGTTGTCCTGCAGAGGACTGCATCTCCTCAAACTGAAGGAATAGAGGATTGGCCCAGTCATGAGTCAGTGTGAAGCCTATATGTTATTATGTACTGGGGCTAATTAAAGGAAATCTATAGAAATCAGTGGAGGCTGCTGAGGGGAGGATGGCTCATAATAATAGCTGGAAAGGAGCTAATGCAATGGCATTAAACCATGTGTTTGATGTATTTGATACCATTCCACTGATTCCGCTCCAGCTGTTACCACGCGCCCGTCCTCCCCAATTAAGGTGCCACCAACCTCCCGTGATAGAAACATACTGAAATATACTGAAGTCTCCTCGTACCTTCTGCTTGTACCATGACTCGGCCTCGGCTCTGCTGCGGTTGGCGATGTCCTCATACTGGGCGCGCACTTCAGCCACGATGGAGTCCATGTCCAGGTTACGGCTGTTGTCCATCTCCACCACCACTGAGGTGTCCTTGATCTGGCCCTGCAGCTCATTCAGCTCCTGGCGAGAGAGAAGGAGATGGGAGGAAGTCAGGAAAGCCATAATGTGGATAATTTTTTTGTTTATATATCATAGAGGTTCAAATGCAAAGCTTATTGTGTTTTGACATGGCCCTCACCGCTTCATAGATGGCCCTGAGGAAGTTGATCTCATCCTGAAGGGAGTCGACCCTGGCCTCCAGCTCAACCTTGTTCATGTAGGCACCATCAACATCCTTCTTGAGGAGGACAAACTCGTTCTCCACTGAGGCACGCTTGTTGATTTCATCTTCGTATCTACAAAAACAGATTGCATATGGTTACATGGGCCAGCATTTATGAGAGTTAGAGCATCCATACAATGTCTGGTGTCGAACTCACTTGTTCTTAAAGTCCTCCACCAGATGCTGCATGTTCATCAGCTCTCCTTCCAGCTTGACCTTCTCTCCTCCCAGGCCATCCAGCTGTCTGCGCAGGTTGGCGATGTAGGCCTCGAACATGGCATCGATGTTGGAGCGGGTGGTGGTCTGGTCCTGCAGGAGGCTCCACTTGGTCTCCAGCATCTTGTTCTGCTGTTCCAGGAAGCGTACCTGTGTGTTGAGATGCAAATAGAAGAGTTACAATCAGGTGGCACACATCTTCCACTACAGAATATCTATCCGGTTATGTCCTGTTATATCACCTTGTATCATGTGACATGCATTGCCAGATGACTTGCTTTGGTAACATCTCCCTGGCAACGTTTATTTATATTGTGGCTCAAGACTTGCATTCGCTTAGGTAATGAAGACGGTATGCTTGTAGTTATTTATTGGGTCTCAGACAAAGCTGCTCATGCCATGAATGCATGAATTTGGTGCACTTTGAGATGAACATTGAGAGATTAAAACATTGAGAGATGAGATATTCTTCAGGTAACTTGCACCTTCCCACCTGCCACAGCAGACACTGCCAGTACTCCATTACAGTAGCTACTGTGGGTGTATCTACTCTGGAACATCTCCCACACCTCTGTATAAAAGGACTGACTTGCACACCCAGCCCTCTGTGGGCCCTTGTTGGCAGGTACTGAGCTGAGTTCTTCCCTCAGGGCTGGGGCGGACAGGAAGACATCCATCCACTTTAGATCTCTCTGTACTATAAGTGTGTTCTGTTCTAGTGAGGTCATGTTGCCTTGACTTGCCATTACTTGAACAAGTTTCAACAGTTTCCTGCTTACAAGAAGATTCCTTCCATGTGAGCTACATGGGCGAGGCTGCACATCCCTGAGGAGGGAAGGAGTCTTACCCTGCCACGCCCGAGCCAATCCTCCCTTGTTATCACCAATGGCAAGCCCCAGCAGATATGGCTGGGTTGCCCCGCCTTAGCCTAAGGTGGAATGGCCTAGTGAATGAACTTGCCTGCTGCCACACCCTGTAATTATAAGACAAGATTCTACAGAATCCGAGAATTACCTGCCTGAGGGTATTTACTGTCCTGTTTTGGTAAAACTACCCACTGGGCACAGGCTTCATTCAGTTCAACGTCTAGTTTTGATTTACATTTGGTTGAGTTATGGAATTAAGGGTTTATTATTGTCTTTTACCTTGCACAAGGTTAATACAAATGTTTTGCAGAAGAAAGGCAAATGAGATGACTGAATTTGATCTGTTCAACCATCCAAAATGAAAGCAGGTGTGGTTAGTGTCTGTGAAAAGCTTACTGTGCATTTTCACTAACAGGGTGAGGCTAGGTGATTTCTATCTCTCCCTTGATCTTCACCATTGTCTATAGTGTCGTAGTCTGAAATATTAAAGTATTTAGGAACAACCTTTAACACAACTTGCTGTTTCAGACAGATGGATAAAGTATATTATTAGCCATATTAACTTCAAACTTGTACAGGTGTGTCTGTGTCTCTGCCAGTTCTGAGGGAGAGATGGGAGAGAGGAGAAACTCTCAGGTGCACCATCAGAGACATAGCTTTCTATTGTGTCCCTTCCTGCTGCCATGGGAATGGGGCTATAACCTGATCCCCTCCCTCACTCTACTCAGAGTGGGCCCATGGTTATAGGATCCGCCTGGGCTAGGGTTTCCAAACTCACCCCACTCTAACTCACAGAGCCAGGGCAATTACAGTCTAACAAAACTACTCAAGCAGTGATGTGCTTTCAGTTTCAATGCAACAGGCTGCACATTGGGACTTTGACCACCTGTGACAAGGTGATGTGCACCTGTTTATACATTAAGGTAAAGGATGCAGCCACTACAGCATTCAGTGTATTTGTTTTCACAGTCAGTCCTAACTGGTTCCTATATGGTCAGGATTTCCGGGTGCTGCATGATGAGGGGCTGTGAAATATTTAATGAGCCCTCTGGTAGTACACAACAGACACAGTCTTGCAGCTATTCAAGCGTGCTATTTGCAACCAGTACCACAAAATAATATCCCAGCTATAAATTGCTATTGCAGATACTTTGCAGTATCTTTTTGCAGTATCTCTTTGCAGTATCTGTATCTGCATTCTGTTTATGCTGGTATATGGTAGATGATGATCAATGCAATATATTTAATTTACTTGGACAGGCCAATAGTTATGGCATACTTTATACTTTTAGCATCCTGTTAGATGGAAGGGCTTTTCAGAGAATAGAGCAGTACTGACCTTATCAATGAAGGAGGCGAAGCGGTTGTTGAGGCCCTTGATCTGTTCTTTCTCATGGGTACGGACGGTCTGGATGTTGGGGTCAATCGCCAGGTTGAGGGGGGCTAGCAGGCTTGTGTTGACTGTGACAGCTGTGATAGGGGCGAAGCCGCCGCCACCGCCACCCATGCCGTAGCCTCCACCGCCACCGCCCATGCCGAAGCCTCCACCGCCGCCAGCCCATGCCGAAGCCTCCACCGCCACTGCCGCCGCCCAGACCGAAGCCTCCACCGCCACCGCCCATGCCTCCACCACTGCTCATGTAGCTGAAGCTGGAGCCTCCTCCACCACTGCCCAGGCCGAAGCCTCCTCCACCACCGCCCAGGCCGAAGCCGCCACCACCGCTGGCTCCAGAGCGTCTAACAGACGAGCTGCTCATACGGCTGGAGCCCATGGGGGCTGCTGAAGAGGAGAAGCTGGAGAAGCTCTTCCTCACACTGCCGCCACCACCGCCACCGGAGCTGAATCCTCCGCCTCCGCCGGAGCTGAAGCCTCCGCTCATGCTGCCACTGCTCCTGTAACTGATGCTCATAGCTGCAGCTGTTCTGATCCTGTGAGGGGGGTAGTAGATTTGGAGAGAGACAGAGACAGAGAGGATTGGTGGTGCAGGTGATCTCACTAGGAGGAAAGTCAAGTCCCTCTGAGTGACTGCTCTCTGGAGGTGGCTGGCTTATATCTCCCTCTCAGGGGGTGGGTCTGCATGGCACAGGGCTCCTCCCCAGCATCTGCCTGCCTCCTAGCTCTCTCACCTGCAGGCTGAGGGGTTGGAGCGACCCAGCCCATCAGACGGGGTAGGTGCTGTAAACGAATCAGGCTTCCGGCACACCCAGGTGCACACACAGAGGAATGGCAAACCCATTCAGTTAGTTCCGGTGGAGAGGGGGAAGGAAGGTTTCTCACAGTCATTACTTTCTCATGTGTACTGAAGACTAAATGTTCATCATCTAGTTTCATCTGGGGTTTTGTGCACGGTAATAACCAAAAAGGTCAGCTACTCTTTGCATGATTGAGCAAAGACTAATATCTGCATGGACTGCATAGGATAGTATAGTATAGTCTGCCGGTTGTGTTGGAATTGTTGAATGTGTAACGTTTTCTGAAGAGACTGTACCACGCTTCTCAATCTCTCACCATAAGAGGCAATCATCTCACTCATCCCCACAGAGACAGAGACTAGGACTGTGTGGAAACACAAACACTTCTCTGTTCCCTCTGCTCAATGCCTCACTCATGGACACACAGACTGGACTGATAGTCCGGGAGACTGGTCGCATCAAATTGCCTGAGAATGGTTCAATGTTTATTCACATTTATTAGTGTTGGATCTGTGACACTTTTATTGCAGATTTACAGATTGATAAATCCACAACTACAATGTGGGTTGGCATCTCTGCAGCACTACCCATGAGGGTTGTTCCTAGCACATAGTGGCGTGACAGAAATACATGACACTACATTCTGATCAACACGTTCTATAGGTGGCGTTGCAGTGCCGAGAGGAATGTAACTGCCTGCCTCTCTCTGTCTCAGCCTGTCTCTTGTATGTTTACTGTCTTGGTTACGGGGAGTTGTTCTGGAGTTACTCTTGATCTTGGTTGAGGGAATGACGAAAGTTTGGAAAAAGAGCTGAACTGTGGAAGGAATGCAGAAAAGGCAGAGAATAACACTAACTTTATTGTAGGCATAGACAATATGAGAGTTTTATATTTATAATTGTAGTGCTTGTGTTGCTATAGTTACCCTGTGAAGTCAAAACACTGTAAGCTCAGTGCTGTGGGGGCACATACAGATGTAGGATCTTAATTTGATCACTCTTTTGTTGCTGATAATTTGCAAACTTGTAGTGTATTCAAGGTTTAAAAACGCTTCTAAAGTAAAAATAAATAATAATAATAATAATTTATTGGAATTTCTACTTTAAAAGGTCAGACTTGATTTGCCCTAACGATTAACCCCCATAAAATGTCCATTAATTATAATCCACATAATGATATACATTTCCTGTTGCTGCAGGATTATTTTCCTACTGTAGCAAACTGGCTCAAATTAAGATCCTACAGCTGTACTGTAAGTAATTTGATCCGCTGAGAGAACCAGGGAAATATAGCATAGAGAAATATATTTACTCTGGGGGAGTGATTGAGTTGACGGGGTTCTGAAGGGATTTGCATTAAGCAAGGAATGTACCTTACTATTATATGTCTGATTTATTTATTGGCCCATATTCTCCTGGTGAAAGGCATAGGAGAGAAGCTAGCATGATGAGGTGAGCTGGCAGCATGCCCCAAGCCTTCCAGTCATAATCTATGGCAGGGGTATTCAACTCTTACCGCGCTAGGTCCGGAGACTTCTGATTTTCTGTTCTACCTGATAATTCATTGCACACATTTGTGTCCCAGGTCTAAATCAGTCCCTGGAGGGGAACAATTTAAAAAATGCAGTGGAACTGGCTTCGAGATCCAGAGTTGAGTTTGAGGGATCTATGGCATTGGCATCGGCTGTCTTCTGTGTCTAGCTCTGTTACTTTATGGGCTGCAAGGGAAAGCATACCACTTACCACTTTGGTTCCAAAAGATGCCAGCATCCTGAAAAGTTTTTTTGGGGAGTCACAGTATATGCAACATTCAGTGGTTTATTATTTTACTGTAAATGGTCCTATATCTTAAAGGCTATTTCAGGGTTACTAAATGTACTTTAAGTTGGTTTATTGTGCAAAAAACGGAAGCTTTAACACGGCAGCTTCGCTTCAACAGTTTAGAAGAAAGGGCAGCGGTAGTGAAAATCAGAAGGAAATACCTGTTCAGACTTATTAAGGCATAGGTGGAGACAACCCTCTCTCCGTACTACACCTAGAATGTCCGCAGGGTGCAAGTGAACTATGGGTGGGACACACCCTTCACGCCGTCACGCACACAGGGCTTATACTGAAATTTTTCTCCCAAGCATGGTAATGTCAGAAAAGGGCAACCTGATATCAGAGACATTGTCAAGGTCATATCAATGTCAACGCCATGTCAGTTTAAAAGGTCTGCATGGTCTTTACAGTATGCTTGCATGCAAATTTACCTGGTGTAAATTCAGTACTGTATATGAATGGGTACGTGAGTATATGTGTGACTATACTGTTGACTTGAGTTGTATTGGTGAGAAGATACAGTGTTGTACTGTAAAACAACACTCCCCCCTTACTACCTCTGACTTTGCTGATAGTTACTTTATTGAGGAAAAATGTACTTACTATGACTGTGATATGTGGATGTCCCACCTAGCTAACTGTAAGTCGCTCTGGATAAGAGCATCTGCTAAATGACTAAAATATACATGTAAATGTTGTACAGATACTGTACCGGCTTCAACATGAGATATTGTGTCTAATGTGGATGAATGTAAATAATCATCAAATACTTTCCTAATGTCCCTGTATACCATATCTTTGTCTAATGACTGTAGTATCATAATGTCCCTGTATACCCTCTCAATGTCTAATGACTGTAGAATCGTAATCTGTAGTGGAGGCACTAGCTTTGGCACCGTGGTCCCCACAATCAGGTCACACCAATTTATTTAATTGTATTTATAATCTCTGTGCACCCATTGTTGTTAACCTTCTTCAAAGATAGTAGATGGGAATCAGCCTGTCACAGGATCTTAGAAGATCTTCTCAGCTATGACATGTGACAAGTTAGGTTGCCTGTTGGTACGGTATGTTGGTCTTGTGAATGTGTCATTGAGAGCCCAGCTTAAATTCATTTAATCTCCAGATACTTGGCAGGTTTTACTGAGAATAGCTAGAGTGATTATATGAGAAAATGAGCCTCTGGCGGAATATGAACTATTAAAATGAAGGAACTGTTTTGTTACGGTCTGAATGAATCATTGCATCTCAAACCTCTGCCAGCATTTGGGAGTTCTACTGTTAACTGAACATTGTAAACTATTCTAAAGCATACAGTAGGCCCTACTGTATATGCATGGCGTTCAGGCCTGATAAGTAACACTGCTGGACACTTTGGGAAAAAGCGTCCGCTAAATGGCATTTATTATTATATCTTTTATACTAAAAATACTCAAGGGTATACTTCCACTACAAGACCATGGTACTTGCCTACGGAGCAACAAGAGGAACTGCCACTCCCTACCTTCAGGCTATGCTCAAACCCTACACTGCAACCTGAGCACTCCGTTCTGCCACGTCTGGCCTCTTGGCCCTCCCACCCCTACGGGAGGGCAGCTCCCACTCAGCCCAGTCCAAGCTGTTGTATGACCTGACTGTAATATCTTAATGTCCCTGTTTTCCCTAACAATTTCTAATGACTTAATGTCCCTGTTTACCCTCTCAATGTTTACTGACTGTAGTGTCTTAATGTCCCTGTTTACCCTCCCAATGTCTAATGACTGTAGTGTCTTAATGTCCCTGTTTACCCTCTCAATGTCTACTGACTGTAGTGTCTTAATGTCCCTGTTTACCCTCTCAATGTCTTGTGACTGTAGTGAATACCTTGCAATAGGCCTAACCGTACCTGGACTCTCATGAACAAGAGTAACCCCAGATCAGCTCTACATTGTATCTGGGTTCAGAACCACAATTCCAACTGTAGTGAAGGAGGCATTCTGATCAGATTCCCTTTTTTTACCACCCTGTCTCCAAAATATGAGAGACTTCAGTTGGACAAGGCACAACAAAATGCTCTAAAGGGATTTGCATGGTCTCAGACCTTGGACACGTGGTTATGCATCTCTGCAGAGCATTGTGCCATTATGTACATTCAAAAGTAGTCCACTACTTTATGTCAACAAAGGTCAGGGTCAGGCTTAGGTATAAGGTCAGATACAAACAAGCTCTCCTGCATGTTTCTTCCTATCAGTCACTGTAGGGGCTATAATACCCTCTCAGTCAGGCAGCTAAAACGCTTGTAACTGTGGATGGGCGTTCTCTTTCCAGAGTCATTAAAGTGACTTATTGCTGAGATAGAAGTGGCTTGTCAATCTCACCACAGAGATGAAAACAAGTATGTTATCATCGTAAATCGATCTTGCAGGCAATCCAACATAGGTGAAGCCGCTCCACATAGAAGTGATAAAAAACATTTTAAAGGTAGGTTTCTATTGTCATAGTATGGCATGTGCTTTCTCCCCGGGGAGTTTAGTCCTTTTAGAACACTGTCCTCGGGTTAGGGGATGTGAGAATTACAATGAAGCTGAGAACCTGAAGCGTTTAAAAAAAATATTACAATTATAGTGGATGTAAGAATGGTGAAACTAAAGTAGATGCAGCCCTCGTTAAATGTGGTAAGTGAGACATACTGTTTGACATCAGAGAGCAGTAGGGGAAAAGGTTCAGAATGCCTTCCTCGTGCTGCTAAGGTTCAGAATGCCTTCCTCGTGCTGCTAAGGTTCAGAATGCCTTCCTCGTGCTAAATAGGTTCAGAATGCCTTCCTCGTGCTAAATAGGTTCAAAATGCCTTCCTCGTGCTGCTAAGGTTCAGAATGCCTTCCTCGTGCTGCTAAGGTTCAGAATGCCTTCCTCGTGCTAAATAGGTTCAGAATGCCTTCCTCGTGCTAAATAGGTTCAGAATGCCTTCCTCGTGCTGCTAAGGTTCAGAATGCCTTCCTCGTGCTAAATAGGTTCAGAATGCCTTCCTCGTGCTGCTAAGGTTCAGAATGCCTTCCTCGTGCTGCTAAGGTTCAGAATGCCTTCCTCGTGCTGCTAAGGTTCAGAATGCCTTCCTCGTGCTAAATAGGTTCAGAATGCCTTCCTCGTGCTGCTAAGGTTCAGAATGCCTTCCTCGTGCTGCTAAGGTTCAGAATGCCTTCCTCGTGCTGCTAAGGTTCAGAATGCCTTCCTCGTGCTAAATAGGT